GTCATCCTGGGGTTGTCGATTTCCCTGATTTACTTAGTCTGGAGTGACAGTCAAGCTAGCTTCGACTAGAAGATTCCTGTAAGCAATCATGGGTTACATCGTCCAAGAGATCTTCATAGACTAAGGTGGCAGGGTTAAAGTTGTGTTCGGTGATGTTTATTCATTAAGGTTTCATTTAAGTTATAATGTTTTTTTTGGATTTTAGAAGGTTGGAAATTTAGGTTGCTTACATAGCTGATTAATTTTTTTTTTTGTGATTTTCATTTTGATTTTGATTTTTAAATCCTCCCATGGTTCTGTCCTCCCTGAGTCATTGGGTTTGCAGTTCGACTTGTCACAAGTGACTGGAAGATATTTCGTTAGCAGTCATAAGTTGCCTCCTCCGAAATTCCTCCTCAAACTAGGTTGCATTTTATGATTGAAGTTTAAAATTTAATAATCTTTATGGTGATTTTTATGTTGTCTTTCTTTTTTTTTTTTTTGCATTTCAACACATATCATCTCCAATATGTGCTAAGTGTGTTTTTATTCTCTTCAAAGAAGTCAAACACTTGTTAACTTAGGTCACTTAAGTTTAAATTGGGCTAAGTGAGGTTGACTCAAAATTGATTCGAGTCAATTTAGGTTATCTCGAGTTAGGTCGGGTTGACCCAAGTTCATTTTAAGCTATTTTAGGTTAACTCGAGTTAGGTCAGGTTGACCTGATGTTTGCTTTAAATTGTTTTGGTTTAACCCGAGTTAGGTCAAGTTGATCCAGGTTTGATTTAAGTTGATTTAGGTTAACCCGAGTTAGGTGGGGTCGACCCAAAATCGATTAAGGTTGAATTGGGTTGATTTGAGTTAAGATAGGTTGACTCTCAGTGGGTTTGGGTTAGCCGAAATTTAGGTTGACCTGAGTTTGATTTAGGTTGATTTGGGTTAACTCGAGTTAAGTCGGGTTGTCCCATATTCATTTTAAGCTGGTAAAGGTTAAACCGAGTTAGGTCTGGTTGACCCGAGGTTCGATTAAGTTGGTTTAAGTTAACCCGAGTTAGGTTAGGTTGATACAGCTTTGATTTAAGTTGATTTGGGTTAACCCGAGTTAGCTCGGGTTGATCCAGGTTTGATTTAAGTTGAATTAGGTTGAACTGAGTTAAGTCTGGTTGACCCTTAGTGGGTTTGGGTTAACCCGAATTAGGTCGGGTTGACCCGAGTTTGATTTAAGTTGATTTGGGTTAACCCGAGTTAGGTCAGATTGAATCAAGTTTGTTTTATGTTAATTTATGTTAACCTGAGTTATGTCGGGTTGATGCGGGATTGGTTTAAGTTGATTTAGGTTAACTTGAGTTAGGTTGGGTTCACCCAAGTTTAGTTAAGTTGATTTGGGTGAACCCGAGTTAAGTCGGGTTGACCCAAGTTTAGATTGAGGTTGAACATGGTTGAGTCAAGTTTAAGTTGAACTAGACTCGAGGTGAGTTGTAGTTTTAGGGTTTGGTTAACTCAAGCCTATATTGTGTTAGAGTTGAGTAAGGATTTTATTTTTTATTTTTTTAGGTTTAGGGTTTGAATTAGGATGGCTAAATTGGATTAGACTTAGGCTGAATTTAAGATTTGGTTTAGTTAGGTCTTGGTTAGGCTAGACCTGAATCCAATCTCAATTTAGTTAGTTCTAAGTTAGATTAGACTTAAGACAGCTGTAAGTTACATTAAGTCAGGTCCAGGTTGGGTTAAACTAACTCAAATCTTAATTAGGTTTAACTTGGGTTAGACCCAAGGTAGGTTTAAAGTTTGAGTTAAATTAGGTCAGGTCTAGGTTGGGTTAGACCAAACTCTTAATTTAATTTGGTCTATGTTGGTTTAGACCTATAATAGGTTTAAATTTTGAGTTAAATTAAGTCAGGTCTATGTTGGATTAGACCAAACTTAGGTTAGATTTAAAGCTTGAACTGGGTTAAGTGTAGGTCGGATTAGACCTGGGCTGAGTTCAGAGTCGGATTTAGTTCGAGTTAGGTTTAGATTGGGGCTCCACCTAAGTTTAACTTAAAGTCAGGATTGAATTTAAGTTTAAGTTGAGTTAGGTTAAAAGTCTAATTTGGGTTAGACCTAGGTCAAATTCAAAGTTGGTTCATTAAGAAGATTCCATAATGATGAGGTTAGCCTTTTAATATCTTCATTAAGAAGTGATCTCAAAAGGTTTTCTAGTTAATTTTTATGTTTAACTTAGGTTTTGGAAACAACATGGGCAAAAATACAAATTTTACATTTTTTCTTAATTTTATCTGTATGTTCTAATTTTGTTTTTAACTTTTCAAAGGTGAATATTATCATTTTAATATTTAGAGTTACCACCCTAAATTTCATTCTGAATTTCCATTTTGATTTATATTTTTTTATAATTATATTTCAAAATAATTAAAATTTTGACAGAAAATTAGTCATTTTAATGTTACGGAGGAAAGTCACTAATTATAGAGGGAATAATCCCTGAAAATTTCATATATTTATATGTCATATTTAATTTTTAATAATTTAAATGCCCCTGGGATATCTAATTAATTTAAAATTAAAAATAAGTTGATTATTTTTATTATTTTTTTATTTTTTCCTGTTTTCACTGAGTCCATTATTTTATTTTTGTAATTTTTCTAAGTTATGAATTTTTAAATTTAGAATGTATGTAATGGAATTAAATAATTTAGAAAATCACAAATTTTTCACTTAAACACGCGGGTCTAATGCGATTCTCAGACGCTCCGAACTCCCACATGGCACTCTGCGATTCGCCACACTTCCATGTAAGCGCTGAGGTGGCTCATAGTCTGGTGTTTCGCTCCGCAGGATCCACTGCCTTAGCGCGATCCCCACCATTCGTTTCAAATAAACGAAAACGGATGGCATCCGTTTATCATACCCATGGAGCAGAAGACCGAGCACCGTCCACAATCAAACCTTAAGATCTCGCACTACACAACCAAATCACATGGGGTTTGATCCTATAGCTTCATCTAAGTGAGAAGAACATACCTATTTAGTTAAGTGCACATGCATTGTTCATTTTCTTCATAAAAGACCAAACTGAGAGCCATTTTAGGTAATTCAAGACATTACCTTATCCCAAGAGGCGAGGCCTCGATTGGGCTTGACAAAGACGATCGCCATGGTGTCACGAAGCTTCCCCTTCGATTCACACTGAAATTGGCCATAGCTATGAGCTAGACCAAGTGGTTGCTCGGGTTGGTGTTGGAGTAGATTACGGAGCACGCAAAACTCAGATTTTGAGTGGGGAAGATGTCTTGGAGCCTTGTGATGCTAATGGGAGGGTTAGATTGGAGTTTTGATGTAGTCAATGTCAAGGCTAAAAATTATCTTGGATTTCAATTATGAAATTAGGTCTGTGTGGTGGTGGAGATGGCCTAAGGATGGTGGGGATGGGTCGCTCTGGTCAGTGGGAATGCTTTTTGTGTTGGGAGCAAGGGACTTAAGTGGATGGCTAGGTAGTTGGGTGCGTGTGAGGAGCTCTCCGGTTGCGCTCTTTAAATAGCTGTGGGAGGCCATGGGGGAGATCTCTGGCATGCATGGGAGTGTCTGGCTATTCCTCAGAGGATGAGAAGAGGAACGAAAATGAGTTGGGCAAAAGTAAAGGTTCTTTTCTCCATTTTTGAAGTTCTTTGACCATGGACGCTCCAACGGGGAAGAACATGGCATGCTTAAGGTGGGAGGGGATTGGGGGAGCTTTTGGTAAGGTGGTTGGGCTCAGAAATGGTTTGCAATGACCCACCATGAAGTGATTTGGGCGGGATTGACCTAGGTGCAGTGTGGTAGCATTTTGGTTAAATGTGCAAAGGTTGTCTTTTAGTGTTTGGATTTATGCCAAAATAATTTATTTTAATCTTTTGTGCCATCGATGTGTCAGTCATTAAGGTCATGTTTGTCATGTGTCATGGCTAACCCATGGAGAATGGGCCATAGGCTCACCTAAGTGTCTTTAGGTTTAACGCCAAAGATTAGGTTTAATGGGCCCTTATGATTATCCTAATTAAATAATTAGGTTAATTATAAAGGTTGCCTCCCTAATGAAAATTTGATTCATAAGTGGTTACAAGTGTTAATCACCTTGAACCAAAGTAGGTTGTATTGCGATGAGCTCAATTGTTCCGTAATTGACTCAAGTTGATTTGAGCCCAATTAAATTTTGGCAACCCCTGGTGATTTCAATTTTTAGAGCAACCCTAATGTGTTTAAGGTTCATGTTAATTTTAGGGTTAATTAGTGTAGAGAAAGCTTTAGGTGAGACCAAAGATTGATTTTGGTGAATCACTCCTCTCCCTTTGAATTTGGTGTACATATTTATAAAGCAAAAAATAAAAATAAAAAATAAAAAAAAAACAAAAATTGACCCCAAACAAGCTCTTAACATTTCACTTATCATTTATGAAATAACAGCACAAGAGTTTGCCATCCAACACACATTTACAACTTCAAAACTTGAATTGAAGAACTTTCCAAATTTATTTTGTTGGACTAAAAAATATTTATGCTATACATTAAACCACAGTTGTGGATGAAATGTCATAACATAAGATAAATTTAATATTTGATAAGCAAAAAATAGAATAATCATAAGAAGAAACAAATTTAATGTTCCTAAACAAAATTGTATGCATAGATGCCATTTATACTCATCATTTCAAAAATAAATTTAATTATATTTGATCAACTTATATCTATAACAATTTCATATTTACATATAGCACTCCAAAATTTTAGCATCACATCAAAAATATCATAATCATCAATATTTTAAAAGTGAAATATACATTTTTCAGGCATAAGTCTGACACCTAAATATTACAAGCATAAATATAAAAATTTAGGCATTAGACATGCAAATACATTAAGAAAAAAAGATTATGTATGCATGTTTTTTCAAAACATCCTGGAGTCTTAACATCTACGCGCAAAGAAGCAAGCTATGTTAACAGAAATTAAAAACAAAAAAAATGCTAATCCAGAACAAAGAATTAAAAAGTAATTTACACTATAAGAAGAATTGAATCATGATCAATGATTCTTCTAATTGCCAATGCAGATAAGATTGTCCAACAATAGAGAGCAGGCTTCAAGAAGGACAAGGAACTCTTACAAAACTATTAGCTCACCCAATTTGTCCAGCAATTCATCCAACGAGCAATTCCTGCATCAGTAAGTCACAGTACAATTATTGATTTATCAAGTACAAGAAATATTAAAAAAATAATAATATAAAAAATAATACATTTTCTTAGGCACTTTTATATTTTATTTTTATTTTATTTTATTTATATTTTGATTTGAACCATATTTAACTTATTTTTTAAAACACTCAAAACAATATTTTCATAATTCTGTCAATTTATTTTAAAAAATAATTAAAGAAAAAACATATAAAAAACACCCTAAACATAAATATTTAAAAAAAAAACAAAATTAATTCCAAACAAACCCATAATTTTTAAAAAATTTTACAATATAAATAATATCACACCCAACTTATTTAATAATACATCGAATAGGTGATAGATCATGGAATGGGTGATTCCAAGAACAAGAAGCGACGCTTCATTCAATAAATTTTACTAAAATGGTCTGGTATTGCAATTATTTAATTAAAAAATAACAAGTAATGCAAATAGATCATGAGCATGTCTTCCTTTTAAATATATTGAAAATTTTTTAAATAAAGACTCAACACCAAAAAAATAAAAAAATAAAAAATGAAAACAAGGATGCTGATGGATGATTAACATTGATGTTATAAAACTTAAACTCCCAAAATACTAAAAATGATTGTCTCAAATTTCCCAAAATGATAAAAAGGTTGGGAAGATTTGCATGCATACCACAAAATTCTTATGTATTTATATATCTACACCTAATCACTGATTTTTTACATATATACTACTTTATCTATGCTTACAAAGGCTTGTTCCACTTCTTAAATAATAATATTTTTTATATGATATCAAACATTTGCGTGTCACAAATGTAAAAAATTCAAATGTAACTCTGATATGTAAATATATAAAAATATGTGTGGTATGTATCTAAATGCCTCCCAACAGAAAAATAGTCGCTCCCAATACTCCCAACCAAGTACTTATCTGAAACAGAATAAACAGATTCATGAAGATATCGTGATAACATCAAGGAACCAGATAATCAATCAAATATTTGAAAGGACATGTAAGCAGCTAATTGGTGTCAGCAATACAGATCGAGTTCTCTCAAAAATCTTAAACATAATAACAAAACCTTTACAATCAACATAAAATAAAACTACATGAAGAAAATTACGAACCATCATCATTATTACAGGTACCAAAATGCAATTTAGTGCCCCAATTATTTGAAATTACATGAATATTAGCTATTTCACGGATATAAACTGCTAAACCATGAATTTAAAAAACTACTCCGGCAAGTGAATCCGCAACTATTCACAAGTACAACAACAAAAACAAACAGTAAGAACAACAACAAGCCTTTATTCTACTAAGTGGGGTTGGCTACATGAATCCTTTTTCTCTATTGTGTCCTATCAAATACCATATTTTCATTTAATTCTAATAGATTAAGATTATTTTTTATACAATATGCCCAAGTCTTTTTAGGTCTACCCATCTTTCTTAGCATAAGTGGAATCTAAAACATCAACTCTCCTAACCGGATTATCAAATGGTAGGTATTTAATGTAAGCAAACCCTCTAAGACGACTCTCGCTATTATTGTCCACCACTGGAGCTACACTAACCTTATCACGGATATATTCATTTCGCATTTTGTCTCTAAATGTCAAGCTACTCATCCACCTAAGCATTCTCATCTCAGCAACACTATTTTTTTTTTTTTCAAAAAGAATGGCCGAACGCTATTAGACGAGCCCTGACCATCCCTAGATGTGCTAAATATTCGAAAACACGGGGGAATTCGAACCCGTGACCTAAGAGGACTTATGACTTTCAGAGAGGTTGCTCTACCAACAGGTCACGGTATGCGCACTCATCTCAGCAACACTTAACTTTGTTTTATGCTTCTCTTTTGAAGGCCAACATTCTGTGCCATAGAGCATTGCAAGTCTCACCATTATCTTATAACATTATCTTATAACATTATCTTATAAAATTTTCCTTTCAGATTAAACATTACTTTTCTATCACACAACATGCCCGACGCATTCCTCCTCTTCAACCAACCAACTTGAATTCTACTAATAACATCACCATCACTTTGAACAATTAACCCGAAATATCTAAAACTTGCACACATTTTAATAATTTGATCACCCATAATTACAACTCTACAACTAGATCTACTACTACTAAAATTTCATTTCATGTATTCAATTTAGTTCTACTCAAAAGAAAACCTTTAGACTCCAATGTAGACCTCCATAATTCAATTTTTTCCTGAACTTTTTCTCTAGTCATATCCACAAAAAAGATATCATCAGCAAAAAGCATACATCAAGGTACATTCTCCTGTAAATGTCCGATAAGAGCATCGATAAGAGCATCCATAACTAAAGATAAGAGCATCCATAACTAAAACAAAAGGATATAGACTTAAAGTAAATCCTTAATGTAATCCAACTAAAATAGGAAAATACTTGGTCAATCTTCATTCCGTTCAAACAGAAGTAACAGATCCAGTATATATGACTTTAATGATTTGAATGTAAATCATATCATCACCTTTCTTCTCTAAAGCTCTCCAAACGACTTCTCTTGGAACCTTATCATAAGCCATTTCTATATCTATAAAAATCATAAGTAGATCCTCCTCATTCTCTCTTTACTTCTCCATCAAACTCTCAATACATATATAACTTCCATAGTAGACCTGCCCAACATGAATCCAAAGTGATTATGAGAAATCTTAGTAAAATGTCTTAAACGATGTTCAATTATCCTCTCCCATAACTTTAAAGTATAACACATCAACTTAATTCCTCTATATTTTGGCTCTCTTGTGCATCCCCTCTACTCATAAAAATGGAAACCAAAATACTCTTCCTTCACTCGTCGGGAATCTTTTTAGTTTCTAAAATAATATTAAAGAGCTTAGTAAGTCAAGAAACTCCCCAATCTCCTAAATATTTCCACACTTCAATTGGGATATCATCAAGTCATATTGATTTTCCACCATTTGTTTTATTTAAAACTTCACCAACTTCTTTTTTACTAATGTGACGGTAAAAATAAAATATTTATTATTATTATTAATGATATCAATATCACTAAGATCGATCTTATTTTCAGAAATTTCTTTGAAAAATTTATCAAGATGACTCACCCACCTATGTTTAATATCTTCCTCTAATAAAAAAATGTTTTTTTTATTTTCATCTTTAATACACTTTACTTGAGTTAAATCTTTACTTTCTTTTTTTAGCTAGTTTACACATATTTTTCACTCTCTTATTTAAGAGTGAACCCAAGTAGCCCCCCTCAAATTCAGATTTTTACTTGTATGAGAGGGCATTTTGGCATTTTGCCCCTCCTGAAATATCACGTTGCCCTTTATTGTTATAGTTTCTTCCCACGTTGGGTCTAGAAGGGCAGTTGCCCCCTTTAAAAAAAGGGTCGGTTCCGCCCCAGCTCTTATTATCTAATATATTATAAAAATCACTAAAAATAAAATTTTTAGCATCACAAATTGTTCTCTTGAACTCCTTATGGGTCACCCTATAATTTTCTCAGTTCTCTAAACTTTTACATTTAAACCAATTTTATAACACAACTTTTTTATAATTTATCTTTTCTTGTGTATTATTATTCCACCACCAACAATTTTATTTATAGAAACATTTTATTTTGATTCTCCAAGTAAATCTTTTGTCATTTGTTTAATAGTGTTTGTTACTTTATCCCATATAAAATTTGCTTCTTCAATAACATCCAAAATCTTAAAACCTTCAAGTTTACTCATAAGAAAATTTTATGCCTTTCAAGTGTCTCATCTAATTCTATGGCAATGATTCATAATAATCTCTATCTTAAACTCTTAAAATCCAGAACTAATAATTAATGTTATGTATTTAAATTCTCACATGAAATGATTTTACAATCTATACATTCTCGGCGATCTCTTCTTCTTATAAGAAGATAATCAATTTGTGCTTTATTAGATCCGTTTGTAAAAGTAATAATATGCACATCTCTTTTATTAATAAAATATTAGTAATAATAAAATTATACACCAAAGCAAAATCTAATATGACTCTACCTTCTTCATTAATCACTCCAAAATCTTAGCCGCTATAAATATTTCCAAAATCTTTTACCACTCTACCAACATGTCCATTTACATCACTTCCAATAAAATTTATTTCTTCAAGGAGTATCATTTGTATTAATTCTTCTAGGTCATTCCAGAAATTTCCTTTAGAATCTATATCTAAACCTACTTGAGGAGCATAAACGCTTATAACATTAAAAATCTTGATATCAACAACAATTTTAAGTGTTATAACTCTATCTCAAATTCTATCAAACTCTAATATATACTTACACCAGCACCATTTCTAGTGCTTCTTATTTGAATACAAATGTTTAATCATTGGAAAAATTTCAAACAGATATTATCAGTAAAAGAAGCAGTTGGAAAGAATAACTTCTCTCTCTCTCTGTGTGTATATATATATCTATATACCACTTTAACTATGTACGAAAACAATATTTCACATTTTAAAAGTTAAAATTGTGGTCTTTCTACGTAATGTAACAGATTAGGATGGTATAAATGTAAAAAAGAAAATTTTAAGTGTTGGATATATAAATAAAAAGGAATTGTGCAGTATGTATATAAATGCCCCAAAATAATAAGTATCCTTAACAAGAATACAAACTAAACAAGAGGATTTTCTGCTTAGAAAAGAAAAATCTAAAGCGCTAGCTCATTTTACATTAAATTGCATTGCAAATTTTTAATTCATATCACAGACGTGTAATTTCTCCCTTTAAAAACATTTTACTCAGTTAATAGATCTTCATTTTAAAGAAGTAATTTGAAGATGATCAGTACGTCATAAAAAGTAAATCAGAAAAAAAAAAATTCCCCGAACCCATAAATGGTTGCATTCAAAAAGAATTGAGTTAAAAG